TTACTATAAAATTCAAAATACATACTAGTCTTACTTAATATTATATTAATATACCCGGGTAGTAATCAATTATCAAGTAACAATTTTCTTGAATACTATCCGGTATTTTTAGTGGGGGCGTATTTGGGGGGGTATTGTATGCAGTGATATACGGTAATTATTGTTTAATAATATTAGTAATATAACTATTATTTTATAATTTTTAATTAATAGTATTGATAATAATAATAATAATGTAATTGTTGTTTGAATATTTTGTTATAATTAAAAAAAAAATAAAAAAAAAATCGATTATTGTATAAAAAATGTTTAAAATTAGATATGTTATTTTGATTATTTCACTTTTTTGAAATAAGATACTATCTTTTGAAATTGTTAGGCTATTGTTTAAAATATATGTAATTCTTTTTAAAGGCAGACAAAAATTTTTCAGAATTTATATTGTATATGCATTGTTTAAAAAATAGGAATCAAAAAATTGTATATAATATTTTTGTTATTTTCAAAATAATCAGCTATATATAATAGTATTATTGATATATCACATAAATTATTATTTATAATTATAGTTGTAATTGCTATTATTGTATTAAAATAATTGATAGTTAATATAATGATTAATTTAATTGTTAATAATATGATTTTATTTTAATTATTATGTTAATTATTGTATAATATATTGTTTGTATAAATTTGATTTGATATTTAATAGTATTTAATTAATTAAATTTGAAATAATAATTAATTAATTGAAGTAAACTAATTATAATTTTTTGATAAAAAATTTTATAAGTGAAAATTTTTAGTTTTTTATAATATAGCAAAATATATTGAATAATATTAATAAATAAGTATTATATATGCAACTGATATTCCAAGCCAATAATATAAACAATTTTAATATAAAGTTTAATTTTTAAGTTAAAGGATAGTTTTTTGAAAAAAATATAATTATTTAATAAGATTTATATATTGAAAAAAAATAAAAATAAGTGCAATTTCAAGGAAGATTTATAAAAGAATAACCATCATAGGTCTTTTTCATGCAATATAAAAAAAAGCAAGAATCTTAAATTTGTTTTTTCTTGGTCAGAGTTTATATTTTGATATATCAATAAACTTTTTTTGATTTTCTTAAAACTTTTGTATTGAAAATAAAGAAAGTGTAAAGGATTTTTGCATGTTGAAAATTTAAAAAAAAAATCTGTTTCTTTATTTTAAAAGAAAATTATTATAAAAAAAAATTATTATAAAAGAAATTTTTTTAAGAAATATATTGTGTACAGAAAAAAGTTTTATTAATTAAAATATATGTTATACTATATATTAAATCAATGATATGATTTTCATAAAATTCAAGTTTTTGTATATGTTTTTATATGTTTTTTTCTGTGATATATAACACGAAAATAATATATTTTTTTTGAAATATGACATTAAAAAAAACAAATATGATATTTAAATCATATTACCAATTAACATAAAAATATTTTAATTGAGATCATTTATTAATACTAAAAGACTCCCATTTAACTTTTTTTAAATATTTTTTTGGATTAATGTTTAGTAAATAGTAATACGATTTTTTTAATTTTTTTAAAAATATTTTTTGTTATTATATGATTTTTTTTTTTGAATAAATTATTACTGTACATTAAAGATATGATTTTGAAAATATATTCAAGAATACGATTTTTTTTTTGAAAAATAAATTATCAAATTAAAAAAAAAAAGGTCGCTAACAATTATCGATAGAATCTAATCCAAATACTTTCATTAACACGGCATGTAATAAAGATTCCCCGTCTAAGATATTGTATTTTAATAAGAAAAAATTTTTTATTCGATAGGTATTATTTGAAAAATTTTTAAAAGGATCGTCTTATTGATAATATGTAAATAAATTATTGGAATAGCGGAAAACTGTAGCGGAATAGCGGAGTATCGGAGTATCGGAATACAGTATGCACCCATTATGAAAATACATCCATATATGTGTAAGGTTTCTTTCTGTCACCATATAAAGCAAATGTTATGCGATAAAGCATAAACACATTCTACAAATATTAGAATGACGGAATTTTCTTTGTTTTTTTATTTTCCTTGCGCGCATTAGCAAAGCAAAGCATTCCGATTTTCATTGTGAAAAAGGATGGCGCAGTTCCAAATTTGGAGATATAGTGAACCAATCATTGTACAGTATATAATTTCAGTGGATGGATTTTGATAATCTATCCGTTTTTTAAGTCTTTTAAGTCACATAATTTTTATAACGATGAGAATTCTTCCATTGCCGTACTCACGTAAAATCATCTACTTTAACAATGTCGCTTTTTCCAAAAGGTCATCTTCCAGAGCTTTACTTTGCAATTTTTATCGCATACTATTGATTCATACACGACATTCTTTGCATAGTTACGGAGATGGTAACGAGCATCACAAAGATAACAATAACGAAAATTCCATTAGTTTTAGAGATAGTAATGTCACGGATTCTCATCTGGAAGGAGACACCGTTAATTCAGGAGACCATGTTAATTCAGAAGAAAAAATACCTTCGCAAGCGGGAGCTGAAGGGCATGATACACAACCCCACAAATTTGAGGATAAGGTTTTTCACTCTAACAATTATTTATCACATTAATTTTAAGCTTCTCATATACAAATAATCTGTACTTGAAGTCACGGCAATTCTTGGATTTCCTACACGTGACGGTCAAAGGCGGTCACGGTGGCGACGGATGCGTGGCCTTCCTCCGCGAAAAAGGAAAGCTACATGATCCACCCGCCGGCGGAAATGGAGGTCGGGGTGGGCACGTAATATTCTCATCCTCAGCCAATCACTTCTCACTTTACTCAATTCCTCGTATTGTCACCGCTGCGGCTGGTGAAAACGGTAAGGGTCACATGAGGCGCGGCGCGGCTGGAAAGGATACTATAATTCATATTCCGTTAGGTACCATTGTCCGTGAGATTGATCCTCCGAGTTTATCTCAAAGTAAAATTCGAAAGGCAAATATTGACAGGCCTTATATAGATGAGGAAATAAATTACAAAGATTATCGAGAGACAAAAAGTCAAAATGATAAAAAATTTAATGAAGAAACTGTAAAAGATAAAAGTAGAACATCAGTTTTGGTATATGAAGAAGGATGTCTTTTGGAAACTGACGAGAAGTTTAAAAAGAAAGAAAAGAAAGAGGTTTTGTACAAACAGAATAAAATATATTTTGATCTATCCGTACCAGATGTTCGATACATTGTGGCTGGCGGTGGTAAAGGGGGAAAGGGTAATCCACATTTCGCCACCAATGTCAACCGCTCACCTACTTTCGCATCACGCGGAAAAGAGGGTAAGATTCGGTATCTTGAGCTTGAGGTGAAGACGATTGCTGATGTCGGATTGGTAGGTTTACCAAATGTAGGAAAATCTACTTTCTTGTCGGCGGTTTCAAATGCACATCCAAAGATTGCATCATATCCTTTCACCACACTGAATCCATTTATTGGAACCGTTGATTATATAGACAGGTTTCAATTGACGGTAGCAGATATTCCAGGGATCATGAAAGGTGCACATAAGAATTATGGATTAGGGCATTCGTTTTTGAGGCATGTAGAAAGATCGAAGGTGTTAGTATATGTGTTGGATTTGACATCCGATGAACCATGGGAGGACTGGAAAACCTTGATGAAGGAACTTGAACAATATAGGGAAGGATTAACTAATAGTCCGTCACTGATCGTTGCAAATAAGGCAGATGTGACGGGAAAGGCAAAAAAGAATTTTCCTATATTACAATCAAAAGTTTATGATTATGAGCATGAACGAAGACAAACAGAGAAGGAAACAAATTACGATGGCAAACACGAATATGAAATAATACCAGTTTCAGCGAAATATCATAAAAATATTGTAAAAGTGGCATCTGTGTTGAGGAAAATGATTGAAGAGATCAAAATGTAAAGAAGGCCTGTACAAACTAGTAAGCATCAATAAGGAAATAGTCATAAACTTTGTATGGGAAAGGTTAAACATTATTCCTTAAATTTAGCCACAGCGTTACAGGTAGAGTTTTTGTTGTTGTTTTTAAATGGAGAAGCTTCTTGGAAGAAGATTCTTTACATTGATAGCGAAATATTTTAGGCGACTTTTTTTTAATTAAAAATTATAATTTCGGAGTGGACTAAAGAGGAGTGTATGAGCTACACACATACACAAAAAAAAAAAGAGGAAAAGAAAAGAAACAAATTTTAAAAATACAATCAACCTCGGATATCTGATAAGAACATGATTTCTTATCTAAGTCTGAAAGTTGGACACTTCTAACTGAATTTGGTGTTGTGGCTAAGAAAGCCTTATATTTAAGGGTTAGACAAAAAAAAAGATCTTTTTCATAGTTTGATGAAAAATTTTATCATTGGGCAGTCTATTTCGGAGTTCGGCAATAAACTCCTTTATTTTTTGAAAAAGGAACAATTTTGGTATAATTTGAATAAAGTTTGCAGGACCGACTTAGAAATTACAAGTGATTAAATTTATTGTGAATTACACTCACCTTTCCTAAAGCAACAGAAAATATAAAACCTCATTTATTCAAATATTTTTATTATTCCTCCTAAAGTATGAATTTTATCAACTATAAATGACATTTGATGCCACCTAATTTCTTGTCCAGGGACCCACTCTACCATTTGCTTTTTTCCAGTATAATTTTTCATATAATATAACAAAGCAACACGCCTACCTTGTTTAAACTTAAAATCGATATATTAAAAACACAAACGTGGGAACTTTCACACTCGGATTTTGCCGACATAAACGAGATAATTCAAAGTAAAGAAATTTGACCAAACCTTTTATATCATATATCATTAGATAGTCTTACCAAAATTTTTTCCATTGCTGCAAAGTTAAATTTCTATCGGCCAGACTTCTCCTTTTAATTCCTGTGCTACACAAATAGCTCACTAAAATGTTATAAATATAAGTGCTCCTCGATCAAAATAATTAAATAAAAATGTCAAATCAAGGTCAGTTCAATCCAATCTCCTGCACTGAAACAGTGGATGATCAAGAAAATAAGTTAGCAAACAGAATATTGCACGGAGAGGTGTATCCATTCAAAGATCCTAAGAGCTCATCATCTCGACCACATGAAATTCAGCCGGAAAATCTAATAAGCGGTATCCGTTTTAATGCGCCGGTCGAACCTTTCTTGACCCCCTGAATGCGAAAGACAAATAAAAAGGTGTTACGCAAGATACAATACCAGAATTTTAGCCATATTATATTTAATATATATTTTTATATACATATATTTTGTTACTATATATTGTATTTTGTTTAAATGTAGTACAGGTGATACCACTAATAAATCCATTTACTTTATAGTTGGGTGTCACCTAAACTATTAGATTACATATTTTATATTTATTTTAATTTAATTTAATTTCGTGCAGGAAACATATAATTAATTGTACACCTCGACTGATCTGTGTACAGTACACCACGGACCCTTTTCTAATTTACGACTCCAACTTATGAATCAGGATTTTTTTTTTTATGTACCGAATCATATTTTACCACATAGGATTATTAATTACACATACAAGCATTAATACTTCAAATATATCAAATAGCCAATCAATGTTATTACTATTCATGTATTAAATCATCTTGATCATAATAAAGTTGTTAAGTTTAGGATAAAGTCCAATGTTCTTTTGGTATTCCAATAAATTCAACAACATTTTATGTTGTTTTTATACTTAAAATAGAAACATCGAGCCACTTTAAAATAATTAAAACAAAAATAACTTAAGGAAAATACAGAATACAGTATATTTCAATAATTATAATTCAAAGTATATTCGACCTTAATTGTTTGCTAATATTTTGATTAATTAGAATAATTTGTTTTAATTAAACAACATAGAGTTTTATGATTATGATAACAATGATGATAATATTAGCACTTTTTTTAAAATCACAAATAGAAGCTACGCGTAATAATCAATAAATACAAATTTATGGTTGTTTGTTTTATTAAAAAAAAAGTTACATCAAACAAATATTGTTAGTAATTAAATATTAATTTATAAAGTTTACTGCAGTTTTATGAAAGATTTTGTGTTTTATTTAAATGATCAATTCGTCACCAGTATACCTATATCAATATATTGATATGTATTTTAAGAAATTGCAAAACAAATTTTTTGTGAAATTTGTGTGCATAAGTTTTCCTTGGGTCTACTTATTTTAAAAAGCCTAAATTTAAGGGCTGACGACTTTACATTAAAAAAAATGGTTTGTGCTACAAATAGATGAACATTATACACGGAGTTCCGATCGAACTTTCCGTTTTACCATAAAATTGATAAGGTGGTTTTAGGAAAACTCGGAAATTTCGGCGTTTATTCAGGAGCGATTGCATTTATCTTGGCACCCCCTACATATTACTCAATGATCGATTGCTTATCCTTTCTTTATAATAAATTATTGAAAGCTCAATTTAATTTTTTCTTGTTAGCTTATCATTTCCATATACAGTATGCATTATTTGTTTATGCACTTTTGTAGAACTTGTCTCATACGGTTCCGAGGCTTCAAATATGATTCACATAATGATTAACCATAAGACTTTATCGCATTTTTTATGATCGTGTGACTTACCAAATAATTTTGAATATCACGAGATTATCCTGTATGTACTGTAGTTTATTAAAATTTGCAAAGGAGCTAGAAAAACATGATAGTATCAGGAATAAAAAATAACCAACACGAAGGACTGTAAAGTAATAATAAATACAGTAACTTAATAATACTTCGCTATTACACACATATATATAGACGTAACTCGACTGTCTGTAAAAATGATGTTATGGAGTCTTACATTGTATATTATCACAAACGGTTCATTTACACCAGTAGTCGCATTCATATCTTCTGGAGTGGTTTACACGCATTTCTGATTTTTCATTAATATGTGATAAGAAGGTATCTATATTTTAATACGACAAAATTATCAATAAAATTTATTGGTGCTCAAATAAGTGCATGAGTAAATCACTAATAATAAACAATATACAGTATGTTGCTATTTTAATTGTTAACTGTTAAATTAGCCTTTCTTGTTTAAAAATTATATAAAGTTGGAGAAAATAAGAAATTCCGAGCATTTATTTCTTTTAAAATTAAGAAAACAGAACAAACAAACATTATTATTTATAAAGGTTAATATACATAAAGGATATATGTAAAGCTTGCGTTACGACTGACATCTCCAAAACATAGTCACAGTCAAGACTATGAATCCAAACCGGGAATTTAAAGCAAAGCCTTAAAAAAAGTTATCGGGTTTTTTTGACATACATTCCTTAGTCTTTTATGCCAGACCTTTGAACAATTATGATAGATTATCTTGCATCATAATTGATGAAAATCCTTCAGTACTAAATAATTAATAACTAACTTATCCGTAAAATTATTGCACGGATCTGTACTGATCCAGCCATAGTAACGAATCGATCATTGCCAATTATATGGATATACGAGCTTAAAAGCACGACTTGTTTGAAAAAAAAAAAATCGAAAATTTCATATTAAAAGGTTACATTTATAAGCAACCAACACCCATTTTGACTTACATTTGTAAAATATCTATCTTATGAATACTTTAAACATTCATTGAATATATTTCTTTGATCAAAATTAATATAATAATTAACTCAGGCATCAAATGACATTTCTCAATAACCAATCAAATTATTGACCAATAATAATATCCTCCAAGGATTCTTGTAACAGATGTCTTTATGTTTCCTGTAATAATATTTTATCCTCACTGGGGTTTGAGGTTAAAATCAAATCGCAAGAAATTATTGTAAATAAATAAATATTGTCAGATTCATAAACATCTTATGGCAAAAATTGAACAACACCTTTTGTAGTTTATGCTACAGGATAAAATAGTTTAGTCGGAATTAAAATTTAATAATGAAGCCAAATTGGTAGACATCAATACCTATATGCATCTGCGTTTACTGTATAATGAATACGCTTTTCTGCAAAAGTCACTGATTAACGATCAAATAGGAAGTCCTATTATTGTTTAAGTATATACAGTATATAATATACACTGTATACAGTATACATAAATTTATATATACCGTACCGTATGCTTTAACATATTAATATTTTACACAATTGTCTTTAGAATGCTGTTGATTTTGACATGATTGAATATACTTGTTACAACATTTTAATAATTTGGTTGATATGATGATAATAAGTCATGTATTTACTATGTCATTAAACCGCTAACCTCTGTCTGTTTTAAGCAATTTGATTTGTCCTAAATTATTATATTACTATTACGTGAGTCGCGGATGGACATAAAGACGTTTCTCATTTGCCAATTTCTACATATTTTAAAAGGTTTGAATGAGCTAAAATCAGAACTTTAAGCAGACAAGTGATGTTCGTCAATATGATTATTTTAAAGTCAAGAATTTAAATAAATGAAAATCAAACGCCAAGAATTTAATAAGCTCCAATATTTGTTACCTATCAATTTATATTAAATCCTATAAGCCGTAAACATTGTCAAACTATTATCTAACTTAAATACATTCCTATTGCATTTTTTAAAAAGTATGTTATCATTGACTCTTGACAAACTGGTGTTTTGATAATTATCAATTCAATAAATATAATGTTATACAAAATTTATTAACTTCAAATCATCATATTATCAAAAACATCCTTTTCTAAATGTAGCATCATTTTTAGAAAAAGCATTACAGAATCTGCAATTTTAACACTAACTTTTGATTAATTAGAACTACAAACATATAGTATCTATTAAATTATATAAAAAATTCTAAGGAATTTATACAACAATCTAATAGTATCATTAAATTCAGATTATTTTCTTATAATATGTATCATCATAAAATCCTATA